GTTTCCACCTCTTTTCCTCTTGAGTTTTTGTTGTTCTGGCATCTGGGGCATTCTTCAAACGTTGATGTGAGTCATCATCACAAGAGAGATGTGAGAGCCCACCATGAAAAGCCGTGGTTTGGAGCTCTAAGCTCTTTTTCCTCCTATTTCTTTCTCTCCTCTAATTTCTTCTTCGTTTTCTTTTTTCTTCCTCTATTTCTCTGATTTTCTAGTACTCTGATTTTTTCTTCTTCTTGGTTCTATGTTTCTCTCTCTCTCTCCCTCTATATCTTTTTTTTGCAGATCTAGGTTCTTCAATATCTTAGGTTAAATTCTTGAATATGATTTTTATTTTATTTTATTGTTTGAATATGGAATCTGATTTTTCATGCAAATTTGAAGCTGAGTTGAGGTTCAGATCTGTTTTGCTGGATATTTTTATTTATTATTTATTTATCTTTTAAGGTTCATAACTTCATATGGTTTTTCTTCTATGCACTCATCGATTTGTTCCATTGATGTTTGTTGAAATATCAGTTAGGCTAAACAGTCACTCTAAACTGTGAAAAACCGAAAACCGAACCGGACATAAACAGGTCTGGGTTGGTCTGGTTTTCTTTGGTATTTGAGTTAAAATTCAAACCGAACCGGACTGGATGAATAGTCCGGTTCTAGTTCCAGTTTTGCCTAAGAACCGGGCCAAACTGAACTGTGCCCAAGCCTAGTTGAAGCTGCTGAGGTTATGACCCGTGATAGTGAACCCAATAATTTTGTTACTTGGGTGCTGATTCTCAAGGTTTTGAGAATTCTCACATTGATGATGTCTCACCCAATTCTAGCTGTCCAAAGAAAAGAAATCAATCATCTTATGATATTCGCCCACCAAAGAAAAGATGTATCCCTAATGTTATTGCTGATTCAGTGGCTAAAATGGCTTCATCTTTCGAACAATTTATCAATGCTACCACACAAAAGCTTGATTCATTAGAAGTATATAATGAAGTTAATGCAATTCTAGAACTTAATCTAGATGAACAATCGAAGGCATGCACTTGTTTATAGAAAATGAGAAACAATTTCTCATGTTGAAGACACTTCCAGTTGAGAGAAAAAGGGAATGGTGTTTATATTTATTTCACCAAGGGCATATAACACATTTTTCATTCTCATGTTATCTTTGTTAATTTTATTTATTATTACAGTACCTTAAACAGTAAGGAACACATGTTTTATTTATTATAGTAATATAGATGATTTTATCTTGATTATAATTTTTATTTATTTTACTAGAGGAACAACTTGATTGCATCTGAGTCCTTACTGTGCTTCAGTATGAATTATCCTCATTTAAACAAAAAATTTATAACCTTGTGTATATTTAGTGGGGGAAAATATGCACCAAAGTCTGGCAAAATGGGCCGATTCTGAATGTTTTTGTTTAAGAGATTTGAATGTACCTACTTTACTTTTATCGAATATGTTCTCTTGAACCTCTTGGATGATCTTAATAAATTGTTGAAAGAATACAAAAGAAACAAGTTTGAATGAAAGCTAATGTCAAGTTGATCACTTCTCACTTCTAACATTGTATGCTTTTTTTATTCTTAAGCCTCCTTGCTCTACGAGTTTCAGTTTTAAAATTCCTTCTATGATTATCAAAACAAGGGAAATTGTAATTTCCATAATTTCCTAAATTCTATATATAGATATCCGTACATTGAAATTTGGAATTGACGTAATTTTAAATGTTGTAATTACAAATCCTGTCATTTACAAAATCTATGAAAATTAGAATTCCTTCATCCAAACGCACCATTATGGAGAGAAGATCTCTCACGTGCTTCTCCATATAATCACTTAAGTGATTATAAGTGATTGTATGGTGAGAATCACCTATCATATGCTTCACCATAAAATCACTTAGATCATACTATGTTATTCCATATTAAGTTTTCACATTTTTATGTTGTTCTCGTTTTCCATTATTTTACGTGTAAACTTAATTGTATTCTCGCTAGGAAACTCGTTATGGTCAACTTTATCTGGATTTAATATTGACTACCGAGGTTCGACTTCAAATTATTCATGGTGTGTTTACAAATCAAGAATTGAATTCCATCTATGGATGATTCATGCGTTTATTTCACATCAAGGAATTACAAAGTAAGTGGGGCCCACACAAAATTAAGAATTGAATTCATGATTTTGAAAGAATTCAATTATTAGATAGGAGGTGGTATTCTAATTCCTGGAGAACTAACCCATTAGGAATTCACCTTTTTTACCGATTATATCCTCTCACAATTTTAGAATTCAAAATTTGCCATATACTTTAACTTAACAACGACATTTTAGTAATTAGTACCACTCTTACCCGAATTCCATATGGTTTAGTAAACACTTCAAATCTGGAATCTAACTCTCCTCAATCCATATATGGTTGGTAAACAACTTCAATAAGAATTCGGAATCTAATTCTCCTCAATCCAACTCATCCTCAATTTAATTCCTCCTAATCCAATTATGGATTAGTAAACATGCCATCAATTAGAAGGTTCCTGAACAACCTTGACTTCTTGGAGGTTAGTTCATCAGCTTGCTTTCTGTATCCATTGCGTTTTCATGGCCTTTGTTGATGGTGCCTTTCATATGTTTACTCATTTAGGACAGTGAAATTTAAATTGTAATTTAATTTTCATTATTTTTTAAGAATAAGTCTGAAAATTGTATGAATATGTTACATGTATGATAATATGCGTGGTTTCTAAAAAAATGCACTTTGGTGTAATTGAGAAATATGTGGAAAAATATCAAATGGTGTTCTCCTAAGTGGTTCTGGGTTCAAATCCCCCACCCTATGGTAATGGTACCTGTATGTGTGAAAAATATCAATAGGACTATTCTCTAGTGCGGACGTTCGGAATTGCTTAATGTCCGGACTCGTTTTGTTTTTTCACATGATCAGAATGAATGGAGGGACACCATTTCCATTTTGTTTTGTCCATCTCTCTTCTTTATCAGTGAAAAAAAAGGCACTAAGCACACATAACAACCTCCAAATTCTCTCTACCAGGGGCGGAGGTACACTAGGGGCCTGAGGGTGGCCCTGGCCCTCCACAATTTTTTCTCAATGCAGTCAACCTTGGGTTTTAGTTCATATATTTAAACATGCAGACCATATAACCATTCTAATGGCCCCCCCCAATTGCAATCCATAAATAACTTCATTTATATTATATGTAAATTGTTTGTAGGCCCATTACACAACTGACATAAAAAAGGAAGTATTAACCTCTAATAATCAAACCGATGAGCCAAGGGAATAGAAAATAGTTTGACAAAGAAAAAAAGGGGAATAGAAAATAAATAGTTTAAGGGAAATGAGATTTTATCAGTAGACTTTTCCGTTTGATACATGAAATTAAGTACAAAGTTCTAAAAATGTAATTTTTTCTATATATATTATTGATGTAAGATTGATGATTGTTTTTTTTTCTATACTTGTATACGGTTCGGCCCCTCCACACAATATAATCTGGCTCCGCCACTGCTCTCTACAGTCCACCAATGAAGGAAAAGCCCAATCTAGAGGTGATGTTTGACTTTTAAGTATTGGCCGAGCATGGGGTTTTCTATTCTACCTTTACCAAGAAGGCAAAAAAACAAGTAGTTTGGACGTTAGAAAAAATACGGACATCCATAGTAGAGAACAACTCATATATAGTTTTTTTAAATGCGGACGTCCGTATTTTGTTAAACTACAGTTGTACACAAATTGCCAATATATGTGTATATACAAAAAAAAGTGAACATAGTAGTTTAACGGAAATGCAGACGTCCACATTAGAGAAAAACTCTATATATATATGGATACATAATTTTTTTTTTTTTTTTGGACGAATATTAGATACAGAAATTGACATGATGGGTCCAAGTAAAAACGTATGCGGAGGAGGGTCCCTTTTTTTTCTTTCTGTAAACTGAAAAAAAATACACATGTTTGATTTTCATTTTTTATACAGGAAAAAAGACAACCTTCGACGACCGACTACTTTCTGCTGTCTTGGGTTAGCCAAGGAATGAAGAATTCCCGCATTAAAAAAAAAAAAAAAATATAATGAAGAATTCCCGCATTAAAAAAATGTCATAATTCTTGACTGTCTTGGTTAGCAAGGAACGAAGAATTCCTACGTACGGAAAAGGGAATTAGTCGGCAACCTCATTTCTATATATATCCAACCTTGTACACTGTGGCACAAACAAAACCACCCCAGAAAGCCACTCACTCAAAACCTCTACCTCACATTATCTCATACGCGTCACTGCGATGGCAAGCACTGTTGACGATACAACGAAGCGGTCTCAAATTTGGACAATGGAAACGGAAGGAACTATGAGCAAAGGAGTACGTGCCTAAGACCCCCTTGTTTGGTTGGGTCATTTCTTATTGACTGAGACTATTATGTGAAATGTTTAGTAGGGACTGAAATTTTTAATTTTTGTTATATTGGAGTTCGACTCTGGGGTTCAAAACGGTGGTGCCATGGGGAAGTGACCACCGCTCTGGTGGGAACCCATTTGAGATGAAATTAGTTTGGCATAAAAATGGTTTTTTTTCCAGTTGACTTAATATAAGCATGTGTTAGTGCCGTTTCCATTCAAACACATACTAAATAAATAATTTCTTAATTAATAAAATAAGAATTCCAACTTACCAACTTAAATTCAGTCGCATGAAACAGAAAGGCCAGCACCAGTACTATCTTGTGTAAAAAGGAGAAAATAAAATACTTGAAACAAAAAAAGGATGAAAAAATATTAATTTAAAAAAAACTTTAAAAAGTGTAACCCGACCCGACCCACCTAACATAATACATCTCCGTATCCATACCTGTCGTTGTAAAAAGGGGAAAGGAAAAGAACTTGAGCAAATTTCCTTAGTGTGGTGTTAGTTCCTAAATTCTTTAGTCGTGGGGTGGTCATAAGGTTACTCTCGGCAGCCAAGAACTGTAGCTAAGCGCATGTGTGTGGGGGTACATTGGTTCAAACTCTGGACAACCCTACAGGCTTTGTGCAACCAACAGTCAACAAGCACCTTGGGAGGGAGGGGGCTTCAGGTGTTGACACCAGCAACAACACCACTAGTGAACACGCGCAAAAGGTTTGCGAGGTACGGTTTTGCAGGAAATATACGACTAAAACCCGTCGGACCCGTTGGAGGTTTTTGAAAACATTGACCGGCAGGGAAGCGGAAATGCAGCACGTCGGAGCGGCAGGCCCAAAACGACAGGGCGCCCCGCTAGAGCAGTATACGCTATAAACTGTTGCGCAACGCAGGCTGGCAAGGGCGGAAAGCCGGAAAAGGGCCAGCAGCGACCGCCGAGGCTCGTGGCGGAGAGTAGCGAGCCGCGCGCCGGTGCCATGAGGGGGGCGGTTTTCCCAAGCACGGAGGAGGTCCAGGGGGAATTGAAGGCGGCTTTCAGGGCGGTGCGGGAACGGGGCGGGGTCGTCTACCCTCACCCTGGGCAGGGCGGCACCGCACCGAACTGGGCGCGAGGCATCCGCGCGCAGCCCCCAGCGGGGGACGGCGAAAAGCGGAAAACGGGAACGCACGGGAGAAGACCCCGCCACCGGCAGAAACCGGCGAAGCCGGTCCCAACCCCGCCAGCCAGCCGCCCACTGCCCCCTCTCGCCCACCCATCCGGGTGCGCCGACGGGGCACTAACAGCCCAACATTCACACCAGTCTACATTTTGTGGCATTTTTTCTTACAGCCCCAAAACCCCAGACATCGATTCCCTTCATAACCATTGGAATCAAACGCTGAAAGAGGGCGCCATGGGGTTTTTCGGCGGAGTTACTCTCCCCTCTGGCGTGCATGGCACACAGCAGCGGAGCGGGCCTATGGCCAGCGGGTGCTTGCTGCGGCTTCCTGAGATGGTCCGTTTTTTGGAGAAGAATGTTTGTGGAATGATCTGTGCTACCAAGCAGATAGTGCAAGATATGCCAGGCAGGTTCTCCGGTGGGGCGTCATACGGTGCACTGACATCGTAGACGCACGCCTCACAAACCATCGATAGGCGTCTTTACGACCCATCTCGTTATGAACTCGCCAAACGCGATCAGTGCGAACCCAGAATGATTTTTCAGAAGCACTGCTGCAAATATTGGAGACCAAAGAAGCTATATCTGAGTTTGTCCAAACAACCTGACCCGGCGTAGAAACAGAGCCATTCTTTACGGATAAAGCAGAAGCTCGCTCGCTCGCTTATGTCTTCGGCTCACCATTTTCTTCATACACAACTGCCTCTTCTCATCGCGCCATCCAAAAAATCTCCATTCAAATGTTGAGTAACAAATTTCAGACATAAAGCCAGACAATATGTTTGCGTATGAGATTCAATACCGCTATATAGATATCCATAAGCTAGATCCGTCATAGGACTAGGCTCCGCCGACTAACCACTTTTTCGTTAATCTAGAACGCTAAGGATGTCGTTCCTTCAGTCCTTGCTAACCAGCCAAATCCTTTTTTTTGACCTTTGGTCTCCTCGTAGAATTAGGAATTCTATATTATTCCCGCTAAGCTCTCAATAACCACAAAAAGGCAACAAGTTCTGGTCGATCTAAGGTTGGGAATAATTTCGATAGTCTACTGTCGTTCTTAAAATGTTCATTGGTTCGTCTTTCAGCCTATGTTCCTCGAAAAAAAAAAAAAAAATCACCACCTTTTTCTCGTGGACTTCGACACGAAATTCATGTTTGTATAATATTTTTCAAAACCAAATTTTATTTTCCTATATAATGCGCATTATACGGAAAAAAAAAAATTGTGCATTTTATCATAACAAACACATAATCATTGTAACTCATACCATTATTCTAGACTGCTATAAATGAAACCCAAAAACCTCTTTCCCCACCGTCTTTCTTCTAACCTCTTCGTATTATCCCCATTACATTTTAATTGCAAAGGAACTCCCTACTGCGCAGGTAATAGATAGTTTTGTAAGTGCTACCGCTCTCAGACACAGGATCCTCTAATTCTGGTCCAAATTGTTTAAATGCTAAACCAATGACCAAAACATAATTAACCCACTACAAAAAGTGTAGACAAATCCAACAATTTGACACTTCAATAAATATATTTAGTCGCATTTCACAATTGATGGATTAAGAATATAGTAAAACCCTATATCCATAAGCTGACATTTTAGAGGTACCCAAAAACTGGAAGTTACGAACGTACAGAAACAGAGTTACCGCGGCCATCACAAGAGCCACCCCTTCAAGTATAATAAATCTGTTTCCCAATAATCCTAAGAGCGTGCGTTGCTGTCTATGTCACACTAACCCTAGTTAGAAGCAGGGCAGAATAGAAGAGGACACACAAAACAATCTGAAACTCTCATCAAAGAGCAGCAAAATTCAGGGGACAGATTTTAAAGAACGGAACACAAAACCACCAATAACATGCCCAGAACCAAAATCAGAATTAAGTACCTTTAGACAGAAAGCGACGCTGGCCTGTGGTTTAGAGCTGGGAAAATAATGAACTCGTCCTGTCCAACCCCACCAACAAACAGACAGTGGGAAACCGCTACAAGGTCGATGACATCTCACATACGACCACACTACACATGCCTGGAGGGTAAGGGGAGGGGTAGGAGGCGCACCAAACCCCTTAATTTTCCCTGTGCATCGTTTAACAACATAGTTAGTCGATCTATGCCAAACCCCCACCCGCCATTGGAGGTACACGTCCATACTCAAGAGCTCCACAAAAGTTTCTCCAAGCCATTGGCTCTCACATCACCTACTGTCGTCCTTAAAACAAACCACCAGATCTTCAAAAAATAAACCAAATAATATATATAAATGAACCAACTAAACAGTTAATTCCTACCTTGGATCTGATCACAACGTATGGCGTTGTACCCGAGGATCATTTAATTCAGTGTATGCATGCAAGCTGGCAGCAAATAACATTTGGTAACAACGCCAACGACAAACCAAACCAAAAGATGCCAAATACTAAATAATTCAAAAAGTCTTCAAGTTGTAAGCATACTCATCTTTGTTGATAAACCACTCAAAACTCTCATTCAGGCCCCGGTTTTGATCTATGCCACTTTGCCTAAAGTACTCTTATCTCGGGATGGTGTAATCTAATAAATGCGGGTTTACCACAATCTCTTCCAACGTGCCCCACAAGCGCAAGTTGAAAATTTCATCAAGAAAAAGAAAAACATAATTGCATTTCCACATTAAATTGACCATCCATTGCCACCACCCATAAGCAACTATCAAAGCATCTATAATCTCCTAGTAAATGTACTTTTATTTTTTGGGGGATACAATATGCGATCAGAATTCTCACTCGATGAAACTCCTGCATAAACCGTCCAGTGTGTCAATAATCATTGACACTTTAAAAAGAGCCTAAGTCCATTTACATGCTTCTTTTTTCCCTTCCTTGGCAAACAATTTAATAGGCCAACAGCCCTATACAACGGGTGAACGTAACTGAACACTATATGTATATAATAACAGTCACTCACCCAGTTACCAAGTCCGCCTTTTAACTCGAATATGACCCATGCATCATTCTTTCTAATATACTGTTCTCACACCCCACCTAAGTTAGCTCCTACAAAGAAGTAGTTCAAACTGGATCAAATATCCTGATTCATTACCTTTCGATTAGAAGACTTAGTCTCTGGAAAAAGGAAAACAAGAGAAAGATATGTACCATTTTCCCACCAAACGAGCGATGGTTTCAGGAGGCAACATGTGATTCACTTCATTGCATGCCGGTCCTTAAAATATGTCTGTTACGACTTCCGCACTAGACATGAACCTACTGCTCGGATTAGTTTTGGCAAACTCTGCAATCTTATTCTAATCCTCAACCATGTCGATCCTCCGCACAGTACCAGATTAAAACCATCAGATAATTGCTTTAAAATCTGTTTCAGTTGTAACCATGCATGACCAATGACATGTTAGGTTCAAGACCTGAAGGAGGATTGAAGTCAATCTCAATACTGCTCCTTATCGAGCCCATCTTGGAGTGTTACTATGATTTGGATCTTCCCCTGGTGAGTTCCTTGACCGAGCCCCATATTATAGATAAAGTATTATAGTCAGCAAAGAATCCAAGTATTTTTTCAAAGACATGGAGAAGTGCACAGAAGCAATAAATGTCTTGAAGCCTACCACTAACAACAATAATCCTCTCATCAGGGATCACAAGTCATTGGATTCTGCACTACCGCCCTGGGTAGAATCACAGTTATGACCGCAGGATTAGGAGTCACAATCATACCCTCATTATCTAATTTGTCTGTGTCCAATCTCCTAAACACGTTCCAGCACACAACACTAACTGCTTGAGATATAGTTCATCGTGCAACTTCGCATAGAAAGGGCCTCATAGCTCAAGTTCCATTGGTGTATAAGTCACAAACGGGCGGCTGCACTGCTCCACTCCCAGCAATACATAGTCATCCATCGAGTTCAACACTTTAACCTAGGTGAAAAGGAAAAGAAAACTAATGACAAAGATATAAACGACACAACAATGTAAGGGCAACCCATCACAAATGGCCATGGAAACGAAATGGATAATCAGAGCGGCAAGTTGATCAACGACTAACCCCACAAAATAACAGCGCTCCAGGAAACTTCTAAATATAAGTGTCTCTAGATCCTGGTCTTGAATAATATTGATGCGAACACCGGTAATCAAATATTAAATCCAGATAACGTTGCCATAACGATTTCCTAGCAAGAAATAACATAGAAGGTTAACAATACAAATACCAACGTAACAATTGAATCAGGAAAACAAACCGAGAACCCGTGGACCCCAATAACAACTACTTCTAATTCGAGCAACCTTGAAATGTGAAATAACGTAAAATCCCACAAACTCAACAAAATTAATATATGGGATCTCTGAAAAGGGCGTAGTCTAACTTAAAAGATCACCTTCGTCAACTAGCTCATCATACACCGTCTACACTCTCTGAAACTCTCATCTCAAATTAAAATCAGTAGCATTGACAAAGAAAGGAACACAAAACCAAGGATATAAATCATGAACAATCCCACAGAACAAAGAAAAACCAACTAGCCAACTAAAGCGACAACCACATAACGATAAAAGGAAGGTTCATTTTATAAGTTCCTAGCTGGTAACTAACTAAAGGCGCCAAGAAATCATATGCTCTCGCTGTGCAAACCGCCAAATCAAGCTTACTCGGATTCTAATATAGATAGTGTACGAATCACCCACTTCTGCATAGACAACATATCAACTAATGTGTATGCCAAGTAAGTGAACATATTTTTCGTGCACCAAAGACTGGTATCTTACGTCCTCACATGACGCGTACTGCAAAGAAGGTTTAAAGTTTCCTTCAATCACCATACCTGGGTCTTTATCAAATTATAAGTTTTCTAGATTCGCTTGGGCTGTCCGGGACCCCTCCTCAAATTTCTGCAGAAGTTTAGGCAGTGGAGCATTATATGAGGCACCGGCAGTTTAAGCAGTAAAAATACAAACACTTGGCTCACCCGTTAAGGGCACCCCTTCTCAGAAGCACGACCCGCCCCTTCCTGCCCTGCCCACATATCTGAACGACACACCTGCTGACTTTACGACTATAACCCTATTCTGGAAATGCTCCTCCTCAAACGCCACCCCAGTAAAACTTAGCTTTAACGTCTTTTTCCTCACGAGAAAGAAACAAACCAACCAACAAAACGCACAAATTGTCTAGATCCAGAAAAAATGAACTAGTCATTTCTGTCCCAAAACACCACAAAATCCATCACGACTTATATTACGAAGTCCATTGTATTGTGAAAGAAAACCAAAAATAAAGAGCAGAAGTTATAGTTGTAACTGTAGAAGGCCCAGGATCATGACATTATATACATAACATGACATGTGCCCAAAATGGATTTTATTCAGGGGTCAAACTAAAATCAGAGCTTCAGTCACCTAGACTGAACGGCAGTAAAGCCAAGACCTTCTTGACATAAAGAAAACGGCATAAAATACTTTAAAGTTTGTTTTGCCGAAATGAACTTATCATTAGACCGTAAACTGACTCATTCAGAACCAAACATCATGAGAAACAGACAACCCCACAAAGACGCTTTGTATATCAAGTTTAACAAAGTCAGGGAAGATGTTAAGAAAAAAAAAAAAAAAGAAAAATAAAAGAAAAAAACAAATCATGGAACGACTAGCCCTCGTTCCAGGTGTCAATCTTCATGGACTCCTGACCGTGCCCCCTTTGTAATCTATTTAGAATTTCAGCGATAACTCTTTTGTTAGAATGTTTCCTTCCTTTCTAACTTTTCTTTTAACCAACCCCAAGGTTCGCCAACACACACGCACAAAAAGATTATGGGACTAGAACTGTATCAATAATTACTTTGAGAAAGAAGAACTCAGTTTAAACCTATCTAGGCTGTTGCCCATAGAAGTGAAAACAACATTCAAACAGTATCAATCATGGTGGCCTCGCCTAAACATTAAGGTCGAGATGCGTCGTTACATACAAAAAAGGATTTTATTTTACTACTACAGACTAGCCTCTGTTGTCATTTAGACCCCTTGTTCCTCTGATAGTGTCCATATTCAGTTCAATGGCAGAGGAAATGAATGTTTTCTTATAGGACATTACTAAAAAACTATAACCTGGATGACAACACCACCAACTTATTCGACTGATCTTACAAAGACACTCCATAATGCCCAGGCTCAAATTTTAAATAAAAATCACTACAATTCGAAAACAAATTATTATGAATAAACAAGTAAAGGTTATCACAGCTATATACAAACCTGTGAACCCATCCACCAACAAGTACTCACATCACCAGAATGAGTAACCCACCCGCTGAACACTAGAATGGAACGTAGAAATTCAGATTCATCCAACTCCGGATGGCGGCAGCAAAAAGGGATCCTTGAGTAATTGGAATTGACAAAGAGTAAAATAAATAACTCAACAAAGGGGATATAATTAAATGTCCTGATAAGATTAATTCAAACCACGATAAGGGAAGCAAATAGTTTGCATTTCTCTAAGCGAAGTGAATCCAGAATTCTTCATGGTCAGCTGATGTAGCTTCCAGCACACTTCAATACACTAATAGCTGTTCTACTCTTCTACAAGACCAACTTCATGCCAGTCATATCGTGATCAGGTATTCTTATTTCATATGTTTGGAAAATCGATGGAAGTGAAAAATATGAAAGAATCAGGTTGTCGCTCTTGTTTTACACCATAAAAATAGGTATTTGTAATGACTCGCCACTCATAGCAAAACTCAAACGTAAACCAACCTAGCTACTATAAGTTTCACTCTACCCAATAAACTTTATACCTAACTTGTACACTGCTTTGTGTACATGCCTGCCCATGATATAGGTAAATACCACTAAAAAGCTGCAGGCAATTTTTTAAACTTGGTGTTGGCAGATATAAAATTGGTCAGATAATAACAAATGCAAAGCGGGGCAAATGTATTTCATTGCTTCGTTCTTAGAGGCACAACTACATTAAAGCACTCTAAACAACCAGTATAAAATTACCAGTTAGTGAAAAGAAGGGGGGTGCGAAAACAAATTTAACCTTAAAATCAGCCCTCTACTGGCCTTTCCACCACCGAGGAAGTCCGCACCCATGTAAATCAAAAGACAAGCCTTAGAGCGGTACGGATCCTTTTCTCATGAATATTTCGCCCTTTGCCAAGCTCAAATTATTCACAAATAAGGTC